CTTCCAAGCATAGAGCCTTATACTAACTGTCAGAATGTTGAAGATTATGTTGATAATTGTATTGACATAAGATTTAAACATAACATCTTTTAAAAATATGTAAGAGAGTAGGGGGCAAAGACACTGAAGCAGGTGAGAGGAACAGGAAGACATTAGATGAGATATATGATGACCTCTGGATTAAAGACATGAAGATTTCAGATTGGGTAGCTAAGCATTTTAAGTTTACAACTGATATTATGGTGAGTGAAAACTAGCTTATACCAACATCAGGTGCCAAGCTCTGGCAAATGAAGTCAGAAAGAGACTAGGCAAGAAAGATAAATATGAAGCAGGTGAGATTTTGATATGCAGACTTTACAGACATGAAAAGGAAGGAAAGTTTAATGTGAATATCAGGTGGAAGATTTTAGAAGTGAAGGGTGGAATGATAAAGATACAGGACATTAAGGGTGAAGAAGATGTGAGAGTTATAAGTGAGAAAGTGGCAGACAAGCATTTTAGATATGCATATTGTGACAGGGGACATCAAAAAGTGGCAATATAACAATACATGAGGGGCAAAGAACAGAGTTGGTGAGCAAAGAGTGGCTGTGGTGTGCTATCACAAGAGCTAGAGATTTCAACAATGTATATTTCTTTAAGAATGCAAAAGCAGATGAGGAGATGTTTACGAATTTGGTGTTGAATTAGTTTAAGGGAAAATGTGAAGGATACAAAGGACAAGATAGAGCCCAAAACAGAGAAGTTGATGATGACATTTATGTTGATGAAAAGTGGTGCTTAAGATATTTTAGAAGTTGCTGTTGCAACTGTGGTGTGAAATTTTGTTTGGACACTAAAGGTGGAAAGCTAACTACAAACTTCACAGCACAAAGGATTGACAATGAGTTGGGACACAGTGTTGATAACTGCATCCCTTACTGTTACAATTGTAATTGTTCTGCTCACTAAAAAAACTATAGTATAAATTAATAAGTTCTAAACAGGATATTATAGCAAATACGTATTTTGATAGAGCGGGCTATGGAAGCCGTGCAACAACACTGGCTAATGCCAGAAAGAAAGATAAAACAATTACAATGGCAGATAAATGATTTCTTTAAAACTGAATTCTTTAAAAACAATGTTGAAGAGAAAAGAAAACCAAGAGGTGAAATAGTTTTGTTGCACCTCATGCTTATTTTTCAAATTTCTTAAATTTTAAAATCATCTGGAAATCTGGAGATGTCTGAAAACAGTCCTACGATTTAAATTTTTGAAGTTTTCGGAGGCTCCGAACAATTTAAAAAAATGTAAATCGAAATCTTTTATATTGTTTCAACTTTTAAAAATTTTAAAGGCTCCGAAAAATGTAAAACATTAAAACATTTTGAAATCGCAATCTTTTATATTTTTTAAATTTCTTAAAATTTTCGGAGCCTCCGAAAATTTTAGAAAAATAAATCGCAATCTTTTATATTTAAAACTTTAAAAAAATTTTTCGGAACCTCCGAAAATTTAAAAAACTTAAATCGTATGACTGTTCTCAGACATCTCCAGATTTCCAGATGATTTAAAAATTTAAAAAATCTAAAAGTTTAAAACATTTAAAAAACATTCAAACAAAATAAATCGAAATCTTTTATACCTTTTAAATTTTTCAAATTTTTCAAGGCTCCGAAAAATAAAAAAATAAAAAATAAAACGCAATCAATTATATTTTTAAAATTTTTCAATTTTTAAAAAGTTTTAAATCATCTGGAAATCTGGTGATCTCTGAGAACAGTCCGATTTGTATTTTCTAAAAAAAATTAAATTTTCGGAGGCTCCGATAAATTTTTAAAAAATGAACAAATATAAATCGAAATCTTTTATATTTGTTAAATTGTTGAATTTTTTCAAAAAAATACTTAATTTTTTAAATTTTTCGGAGCCTCCGAAAATTTAAAAACTTAAAAAATTTAAATCGCAATCTTTTATATTTTTAACTCCGAAAATTAAAAAATTCAAAAAAAAAGCGTATGACTGTTCTCAGACATCTCCAGATTTCCAGAAAAAAATAAAAAATTTAAACATATAAATAGAAATCTTTTATATTTTTTAAATTTTTAAAATTTTTCAAGACTCCGAAAAATTTAAAAAATGAAAAAATTAAATCGCAATCTTTTGTATGTTTTAAATTTTGAAATTTGTGAAATTTTAAATCATTTGGAAATCTGGTGATCTCTGAGAAC